CTTATATTTGAATCAAATCTGCTAAAACTATTAACTCTCTGTTCCATTCATTTTACAGATCTCTAACTCACTCTTAGTTCACTTTTAAGTTTCACAAAGTCTTTCTCTACCTGAATCTCTCTCAGACTCCATCCACCAGCCTTTATATCCAACCCCTGCCCCCTTGGCTCCACCCTCCATCGTCTTATTGGCTCCTTCTCCACTGTTCTGCTGTGATGGACAGGTGAGGGCAGGGCTGTTCGCTACACCTCCTACCTTCAAATTAGGGAAATCTTCTAACAACCCGCATGTTCTATCATATCCAACTTCTCCCTCTTTTTCTTCCTCTCTTTCCTTCTCCCCCCTTTTGGTATATTGATCTGTCTCCTCCCCCGTGTACCCCTATCTCCTCATGACATTTCTGAAACTGTTGGTATTTTTAACAGGACCTCTCCTGAAAAATCTTAACAGGCTCGTAAAAAGCCAGGCAGTCGGTCCCTCGGGCAGTCGATCCTCAGTCGGTGCAGGTGCTTCAAGAGTTACAGCCAAGACTGTGAGATCAGCCTGCTTATGCAACAAGAAGCCAGAGCAGGTCTTTCAGACGTGGGGAACCTATGACCGCAAAATGGGGGGGCCAGTCAGCAGCCACAGGTTGCGTCAGTTGAAGGAGACTGCTTTTGTACTCTATGATTTCAGTTCCGAGATCCTTGCCTTTTCAAATATGCTCAACATGTTGGTTGAAAGGCTATCTCCATAGCCTCTTACATTAGATTGTGCAGTTGGGAGACCCTAGAGTTCAAGGCAAGGAGGACCATCCCTAGAGGCAGAGGGTGAAGAATTGCTGTGTGAGTACAACTCTGAAAGACGGACAGCCAGCTCACAACTGGATTTCTTTAGGAAAAGGATTCTGCAAAAGGATTTCCTTTCAAGGGGTGCCCATTGAACTTCCTTTTAGGTGTCTACTTCCATGAATGAAACCATGCTTGCTGATTATATCAGACTAAAACAACAAAAGCAGAAAAGCTACACCATTAAGAATAACCAGGATAAGTCAGGAGGCACACTTTGTTACGACCAGCTCTCCACCATCCTCTACCATAATTTACAGTGTACAGAAAGAGGAAAATAAGAAAATGGGAAATTTCCTCATTTCATGAAGTGACCGTGGAAAAAAGTCACCACAATCTTGACTTCTCTAAGACTCCATTAACAAAACAACTGGCTGGATTTAAACTTTACAGCTGGAAGGATCTCCATGCTACAAAAGCCAGTCTTAGCCAATTAAAGAAAAGTGGAGTGGAGTTAATAATCTCATGAATTGGGGTAGAGATGAAATAAAACTGAATAGTCAAAACTCGTCAATGACTTCACCAACAACTGCAATAATTCTCCTGTGTAGGCTTGTCTTGTCTACATTCTGTGATGTAAATTGGAAGTGAAACATTTCTCACAACCCTGGAATTCGTTTGGTTTCATTCTTGTGTGGATTCCCTCATTCCACATAATATCTGACTCAAAAATAACAACAAAAAACACTCAGTCTTGCATTTATCTGACCTGTCTCGTGTCCCTGAATGTTTCCCGTACTCCTTGCAATTCTATGATTTCTCTCTAATATGGACATCATGGTGCACGTGAAGTTGTGTACGCCGAGTAAAACATTTTCCACACTCATGACACTTGTATGGTTTCTCTCCAGTGTGGACTCTATGGTGAGTCAGAAGGTTTGCATTGTTGGCAAAACATTTCCCACACTCTTGGCATTTGTATGGTTTCTCTCCAGTGTGCATTCTCTGGTGTCCAAGAAGGTGTGAAATCTGGGCAAAGTATTTCCCACATTCTTTGCATTTGTATGGCTTCTCTCCAGTGTGGACTCTCAGGTGTGTCACGAGGTTTGAATTACGATTAAAAGATTTACCACACTCTTGGCATTTGTATGGTTTCTCTCCAGTGTGGACTCTCTGGTGTATGAGAAGGTATGAATTCTGGGCAAAGCTTCTCCCACATTCTTTGCATTTGTACGGCTTCTCTCCTGTGTGGATACTCTGGTGTGTCAGGAGGTTTGAATTGCGATTAAAAGATTTCCCACACTTCTGGCATTTGTATGGTTTCTCTCCAGTGTGGACTCTCTGGTGTATGAGAAGGTATGAATTCTGGGCAAAGCTTCTCCCACATTCTTTGCATTTGTACGGCTTC